AAAAAAAAGGCAGGCAAGACAATTCAATTTAGCATGTATATTCCGAGAGAATCATGAAAATCCATCTTTTAGGAAAACTGTGATATGCACCAGTGTTATACGATACTACAAGTAATCAAGAAGTCTGTTTGATATTCTAGGATTATAGTAAACAATTCCAATCACAGCACAAGAACAACATGCTAGAAGTAACAATTGCAGTCAATAACTTAGTTGTCTGTGAGCAGCAAACTGAAGGACTAATTGCACAGGAAGTCAAGCGATTTCCGGCCAGATTTGCTGAGCATAATGAGAAAAGANCTTTTAGAACAGTTGATGAGCAAAAACAAATTTTATTTGCCTAATTTTTCAAACATTTTTTTCTTTTCATCTGGCTAAAGAATGCTTAATTTCAATAAGTTGATCACGGGAAGCCATCATCTCTGACCCAAAATATAAAGATAAAATACCTGGTATAAACTTAGGCCAACAAAAATGCATAAATTAACTCAACTGACTANGAAAATCAAACATACAAAATGGGGGGCAAATACTTGGTATGGCAGTACACAATATGAGCCTTGCATCCCAATACTATCCTATAGAAGTGTTCAGATAGTAGTAGGGTTCAAAGCCACCAAGGTATTTATCACAGAAGTAACTGGACGTATGAGACAACAAAAAAACATGCAATTTTGATGCAATGACTAATATGAGCTGAGATAGACCATACAATCAAGCTCCAAAAAGAAGTACNATGAAAGATATATGATTGTAGTTATCAGTAAGAACTATTAATATCTTATTAAAAAAAAAATCAATGATACGTTTGGAGGACCATTTCAGTTTTTTATTAAAACGAAAAGGATCCACCCTCTTGAAGTTTTGTGAAGTTGAACAGATCACTCCTAATCCTGAAATACACTCATCTGTGTTGTCCGAAGGCTCAAAGCCTAGTAGAAAGTATTGACAAGAAATTGTTCTGTTTCACTTTTAGCTTTCAAATAATGTAATCAAAATGAAATTATGAAAACAATTAAAAACTATAAAGAGGGCATCATAGTCTAATGAATAACAACCACATCTCCACCGAACACCACAATCCCCTTCATTACGACCACTGTTGGCACTACCTAGTATCTTCCTCCAGTTTCGCCATTAGAGCTAGCAACTCAATTGATCTCTCATAAGGGAATATGACCAAATATTGATGGGGAGAGGGAATTAGGCACCTTTTCAACAAAGCTTTGCTGGTGTGTATTGCCTACATCTTTATTTTATTCTCCTCCTCCTCATTCCATCCCACTCCACCCTCAATCCCCTATGTCATCCCAACTCACAAGCAGCAATTTAAGTCCAGTTAAAATGGCAAAAAAAAGCCAAAAATAGCCAAAACTCTGAATGCGACCAAAAGAATTATATGAAAATAAGGATTACCTTTAACACCTTTTAACTGGTAGATACGATGCCTTAAAAGATCCCAATATTTGAATAAATTATTTCCAATTGTGGAAACGGCATCACCTAAAAAGGAAATAACTGAAGAAAAAATTGGCAAGATTTCAACCTCCTGCTCTGAAACAAAAAAATTGTCCCCAGTGTAGCCAGGTAGAAATAAGAACCATGCACCAATTTCCCACAGGTTTTTATCAAATGCACCAGTACTTAACATGGCTGCCTGTGCCAGAATGTATGCTTGATCCTTTATGTCTTTGACAGATGAATAAATCAGTATGTTTATAAACGTATGAAGATGCTTGTACATTAGTGGCTGCATTCGGGCAGGGACTTCACACTTGGAAGACCATCCAATATGTTCTACAAGTAGCGATAATAAAGATTGCTGCAGAATAGTTGGTAATGCCAAAGGTTTACTAGGGAGAACTTTGAAGAAATCAAATGACCCCCCTAAAAAACCAGGCATAGTCCGCTGCAAGAGAAAACAACAGAAACAAGCGAACAATCAATATAATAGACAGATTTGTTGAAGGCAGATGAGAGCTTGACCTCTGCCTAAGTAAGTTGGAAAAAACTGCCCCCC